CTCACCAGTCTTTTCGAGGGCCTTACTAAGTTTATCGGCAGCTTCTAGACAGTTCTTGAGAGACCTTAAAAGTGTGGTTCTGAACTCAATATCCTCCATTGACAGTTTTGTCCTGTTTCTTTGCCTCCGCATTTTTTATGCTTTCTTGGTGCACCCCCTAGTGGTCTTTGTGCGCAGTCTTGTTGTAGTTAAGCCTTGATTGTTGTCGGGGGTGATTTGACCTCCAGGCTAACTGGCTATGAGAGTCAGCTGTGTCTGTCCCTTTTTCTTTACATGAAAGGATTCCACTCATAATTCAAGTTCCAATTCGAACATAACTTTCTCAGTGAGAGTCATACACACACACACACACAGACACACACACATAAAAGAGAAAGATGCAAATTGACTGTACCTTTGTGACGCCCACCAGCCAATCAGGAGTGAGCATGCAAATTAACCCAACAAAGATGGTGGGTTGCTTTGCATACACAGGCGCCGAGCCACCGGGGGGTGTTCTGCACCGCCCCAGATGCTCCAGGCCTCTGGGCATCATGAGAAGGCAAAAAGGTGGCTCCGGGCCAGAGCAAAGGCAGTGCTGACAGCCAGGGAAAGGAAGGCCCATTCTTGCACAAATCTTCATGCATCAGGACTCTAGTATGTATAGATATATACATACATACATACATAGAGGCCCAATGCACACAATTCATGCAAGAGTAGGCCTTCCGTCCCCCTGCTGCTGGCACCAGCTTCCCTCTGGCACCCAAGACCCAGGATTCCCTCCAGCACTGGAACGTGGGTTTCCCTTCAGCCACCGGCAGGCACCCAGGACACAGGCTTTCCTGACAGTCCCGGCTTCATCTGTAAGGTTGTCTGGAAGGACGTCCAGTGTAATTAGCATATTATTCTTTTATTGTTATAGACTAGAGGCCCGGTGCACAAAAATTTGTGCACTCGGGGGCGAGGGGGGTCCCTCAGCCCGGCCTGTGCCCTCTCGCAGTCTGGGACCCCTTGGGAGATAACAAACTGCTGGCTTAGGCCTGCTCCCAGGTGGCAGAGGGCAGGCCCAATACCTAGGTGCAGCCCCTGGTCAGGCTCAGAGCAGGGCCGAATGGGGAATTGGGGC